TGTATAGGTGGTGGTAATTTACTCGCCGCCTACGGAGCATCGAGAAGGTGCGTGACATTCATTCATTTTCTACGGGACCTGTAGATTTTTTTTCTTAATATCCTTGAGGACTGACATGAATTTATGTTTCCCATACCGACCGTTCCATTTACCCTGATATATTGTACATACTCAGTGACTTTGCTGTGATACAGGGTGGAGTTGTGGTATGGTTGATTTTAAATGTTAATAGGGAAATAACCGTATAACTACTATCAGTTCCTTTGAGGAGGTTTAACGTGAATTTCGACAGGTTTGATTACTGTGACAAGATTTTGACACTTATTCAGCAATGTTTACCTCAATCAACACTGATAATTGTTGAAATCTCTTCTTGTGTTGCCTTATCACAGCATCAGTGTCTTAAACCAATTTCCGCCTTTTTCTAAGATCATTTGGTCCTCTGTATATTCCTCTACTTAGTCACAAGAGTAGTAAAAAACACAAGAGGAAGTGATTCACTCTTAGTTTACGATTTTATTCCTTATCTGATGACGTGCATTCATGGATAAACGTTTAAGCTGTGAACGTCCTGATGCGTCTTTGTTGTTTGTTTTCCTGCCATATGTTTTTTTAGGTACTTTTACACTGATTTTTTTCACTCGAACGCGGTTAATAAGCCTTATCGGTCAGCGTTTTTTTCCGCGTGGGTGTTACTGAATAAAAGGGGATATTTCCTTCGCCGAAGTGGAAGATAAAGACATGCGTGATCAACAATATATGAGATAAGAAGTGCATTGATAACAAGTAAGCTTTTATTTCTTTATATGTTGATTACTTTCTCACGAAACAACATAGAAAGCTAGATGATGATTTTCTTTGTTGATATACGCGCAAGTCTAAATGTGACATTTTCAAACCTATATATGTATATATAGGTTTGAAAATGTATATATGTATGTATATATATATACATACATATATATATCTATCTATCTATCTATCTATCTAATCTATCTATCTATCTATCTATCTATTTATCTATCTATCTATCTATCTATCTATCTATCTATCTATCTATCTATCTATCTATCTATCTATATATATATATATATATATATATATATATATATATATATATATATATATATGTATATATATATGTATATATATATGTATATATATATATATATATATATATATATATATATATATATATATATATATATATATATACATATATATATGTGTATATATATATATATATATATATATATATATATATATATATATATATATATATATATATATATATATATACACATATACATATACAGAGAGAGAGAGAGAGAGATGTGTGTGTGTGTGTGTATGTGTACTTGTCTGTTATATATGCCTTTATCTGTTAGTTTGTCTGAATGTGTGTGTGTGTATTTGTTTGTATGCCTTTATCTGTTTGTTTTGTTAGTTTTGGCATTAGGAGCAGTTAATAAACTTAACTTTTTTTTTTTGTAAAACCTGAATGACAAAATATACACCATGCACATCCATCCCATTGACCACTGCAAGACAATGAACTATGCCCTTCCGTATTGCTGACACTTCTAATACTACTAAATGAATTTGCTTACTAAATTAAGTTTTACTTGTGAAATACGTCTTTGTGTTTAATCTTGTCTTCAGTGGATAAGCATACCAAAATAAAATTAATGGTGTGCGTGTATGAGGGGGGGGGAGATAGGAATCCACCTGAGAGCCAAGGGGCGTCAACCTACCGCGAATGCAAAAGGCAAAATTAAAATTATGATGTTTCACAATATAAGTATGTCTGTATATGTGGTCGTACGATTATTCGTATTATTAATATCGACTATAACCATTACTCTAAATTACATATAGTGGCATATTTTGTAGTCATGCTGTTTTATATGGATCAATGATATGCATGTAGCCATATAACTAAGACGAATGTACTAATTTCCAGCTACTAGATTCATAGATTATTCCTTCTAAAGGCTGAGTACTCAAATTAAGCTCAATGAGATCAACAGAATTAAGGTTAATCATGAGACCAGTTATTTCTTGATAAATGATAAAAGGGACACGTATGCATGACATCACAGTGGGTGACGTGTGTTGAGAGAGAGAGAGAGAGAGAGAGAGAGAGAGAGAGAGAGAGAGAGAGAGAGAGAGAGAGAGAGAGAGAGAGAGAGAGAGAGAGAGAGAGAGAGAGAGAGAAATATATATATATATATATATATATATATATATATATATATATATATATATATATATATAAATAAATAAATATATATATATATATATATATATATATATATATATATATATATATATAAATATATATATATATATATATATATATATATATATATATATATATATATATATATATATATATATATATATATATATATATTTAGAGAGAGAGAGAGAGAGAGAGAGAGAGAGAGAGAGAGAGAGAGAGAGAGAGAGAGAGAGAGAGAAAAGGAAAGAGAAAGAG